ATTTATTATAAAGTTGTTTAAGAGAATTTTTCTATTTATTATAAAGTTGTTTAAGAGAATTTTTCTATTTATTATAATTGGAATAATTTTCATAAGTTTAGTTTTGATTTACCTTTCATTAGGTATAATACTATTTTCATTTACTATCGCCATACCGTATATCTTATATTATTGCGGTCCTTTTCTTTTTATATTTTATGCATGTATATTTTTATACCTTTTATTCATGGCTTATATTCCTATCATGTGTATTTTGTTTGAACGGTTTGATAATATTTGTGTCAACCTTATTGGCGGTTATTTAGTAGAATACCTCGAGAGATGATAAAATTCTAACACTCACGACCTCACATACCTTGGACAAGGTGGCATCAAGGTAAATAATTCAATTAATAAAATTTTAAATTAAAAAATCATCACGTGATTAACATAAAATAGCCTTGCGTGAGGTGTGAAGGTTTAACCCGACGGATTTGTGGAATTTGATAAATAGAAAAACCCATGAGCCGTAGCTCTGGTCAAATTTACAGATCGTTTGGCCTGGTTTGAAATTATTAACTTTAGAGCTGATCAAATGATCAGCAAATTTGACCAGCATGGGGTTTTTTTATTTATCAAATTCCACAAATCCGCCGATGGCTCAGCGTCAATGATAAGTTCGTATTCACATCATGTAACTATGATATATTGGAACATTTTATATTATTTTATCGGATATTTTTTTTTTGGTTTTTTTTTTTTGGCGATATTATTATTATCATTATGTTATACGTATATGGGAAATTAGGAATAAGATGCTCTTTTACAGTACTTGAAAGTCATGTGCACGGTGACGCAAATTGAAATTCTTGCAGAATAAAATATAATTTTAACCATAAATAGATATAGAAGTCTATCCTAGTATGTTACATTAACACAACACATTAACTTGTGAAATATTAGATTTTTAATGCCCAATCAAGCACAAGATTTTGCCATTCTGGAAGAATTAAGAATCGTGGTGTATATCATATAGAAATACGTAATCAGAAATTGTTATATAGTAATTCTACTTTAGACACATTATTACTTGGAAAAGATGTAGAAGAAAGAATTTCGTGAAACATATCAAAGCGGATTTTCATTTCATCACGCCTTTTCTGCTCTGCTCAGAGTGCTTTTTATGAGCGTGTATTCTATGGATAAACGGAGCATTTTCTTTGCTATATTCCGTCCTCATGCGACTAGATATTAGTAGATCTGTTTGAACAGAGAAAAGAAGTTTGTAGTAAAAATTGGAAGTAGTTTTCCTTGAAATCAATTACATATCTCATTTATATATAACACATACTTCCAAAAACAAAAAATAATGATGTGTTTACAAAAATGGTTGAACATTGCACAAATCAAATGATGTACTTTTACAAGAACACAGTTTTATTTTTTTTTTTAGTGTTACAAACGCTAATTATTTTACTTTGCATGGGCTAATTACTGTAATAGATTAACTTTTGTGTACCGTATGGTTCCGAAAATAAGCACCCCTTTTTTGCATGTAATGCTGGCCGAAATCATTATAATGCAGCCCAAAAT